TTGTTTACCTAATGCATAATTGTAGAGTTTCTTTTCTTTTAAGGTTTTAGAATGATGTTTATCTTGTATATCTTTTTGTTTAAGCACATACAAGATTAATTTATCAATTTGAGATTATTGACCTTTGTTGTATATCAAAACTATCCATTAACATCTTCGAAGCTGCAAATAGGATGAACTGGCCCATTTCTTGCTTGTCCAAAGTTAAAAAACAATAAAATGCTTTCTTTGGTTGCTAATATGCGAATTCATGTTGCAGCTGTTGCAGAAAAAAAATACATAACATTTGTAAGGGGTTTGTGTATTTTTTTTTCCAATAGCTGCAAAGTTAATTCCCATACTTACAAACTAAGAGAGATTTTACTGTTTATATTTCTGTCTGTATAATTATATAAAGTAGTTCAAGTACTTTATATATTGTATAGATGAAGTGTATGTCATTGTATGGTTTCATTTATGGAAAAGCCTTGGCCAAGATAATTATATATGTGGTTTGCTTAGCAGCGTTAAAGTATTGATAAAAGACCATAGTTTTCATCAGAAATAAAGAAGATATTCAGTGGATGTAAATATATGGGCATAAAAATCCCATCCTTGCTTCACCTAAGACAATTAATAAAAAGAATTTACATTTTTTTTTTTTTTTTTGAGATAAGTAATTTTCGATTTCCTACCTTTTCGAAATCAATTCAGAATCCACAGGATTATCACAGAATTTTTAGTATTGATACACTCTGTTTATTAATAATCTTATTGTATTAATCAATCATCTAATGATGTGAAAATGTCAATGGATTTCACACACCGCCTTGATAGCTCTAATCGCTACTCACTAAACCACAGAGCGTATGTAAATATCAAATCCTATTTAGTCGAGCGAGATAGGTAAAATCCCAAGAGACCTCGAGAAGACTTACATTTGTACTACTTGTGCCAACTTTCTCTAATGAGAAATTGGAATTGGACTGTAACGATATTGCTTAATTCTATAAATACCTTATTTTAAAAATCATGAAAAGAGATCCTGGATTCACCTTTTAATTGAGGACTAAATATTCTCCAATACACACTTTCTCCTATCTGTCAACTTTCTGTACCCTTAATCAATAGAACGATACCAAAACTTAGTCAGGCACCAAATTGGTTATTAGCATATCTCATTTATAACTAAGAGCATAACAGAGAATAAGCAGTACATAAAGGTGATTTTTCACATTCTCTATGGTATTTTGTCTGCTAGCCTTGCTGAGACTTCTGTGTCCAGGACCAGAAAGAATTAATCAATCTCTAGAGGGTGTGTAATGGGGTTTTTAAAACTAAAATGCAAAAATATCTATATTCATTCATCGGTAAATAATGTGCTAGAGTATAAGTATTGTTTTCGAAGATTTAAGAACTTATCGTGATACGCTCTGGGTCGAAGGATTATGGACAATATTGTTTTATGGACCGTGTTTTTGTTTGCAACCTTGGTTTTTTTGCAACCTTTGGCAACATAGATTTCTCAAATGTGAGTCGGTGTTGGAAATAAGACTGTAATGATTAAAGGTTTTATACTATATCTGTTTGTATTTCAATTTTTTTTTAACACTGTATGAGAAAAAACACAAACTCATGTTTGGTACAATGACAGCCTATGACCAGAGGATAAAACAAGATTTTGACACAAGGCCTAAGAAAAAGGTGAAGGTTACAGACACTCATAGTGTTAAATTCTTCTCATGTCTATGATATCATGGTAGTTTGCATAAAGAAAGAGTATATCAGGACCTTAAACAAAGGTCATTAAAATAACGTTACAATCGTTCAAATTCAAAGTGTGATATTTGTAATACTTGATAATTGTGTAAAGAATTCTGAAGCAAAAGTTTCATATCACTGTGGGGATGTATTAGGGTCATTTGAAAGCCATGAAAAACAACAGTGTAAATGATTCACATGTTAAGTTCTGAGACATGTATAATTTTCTCCGATGACATTTTAGTTTGATGAGTGCTACTTGAATGATGCATCAGTCCCAAAAACAAAATGGAACTCAAGTTTGGTACATTAAATATAGTAACGTGAATAACTACAGCGACTTATGATAACTGCGAGTGAAAACCTAACATTTCTTATTTACAAATTGATATAGTTATTACAGAAAGCGTGCAGCTTACTAATTTCTTATTGCAAATTGCAAAAATTTGCAAATGACGACAGCTCCAGGTGGTACTGGGCGTGTGACAATTTTTTACCGTATACATGTATATGTCACTTACAGAATATCTTTTTCGATACTTTTAATGCCTGAAAACTCGCTACATGTTGTCATTACTGTCCGCAAATCCACTAGCCTACACAGGAACAAACTGGTTTGTAGGCATTTGTGTTACATATACCATATCTTATATTCTTCAAGATACTGCATTTCTTAAATTTCAAAAAAGTTTCAAAATGCTGTAATTCCATCCTTCCACTGACCTTGATGTAATTCACAAAGAAAAAGAATTTTAGACACTTCGAGCTAATTTACTATAGTATAACTCTATCTCTATTAATTCTTCTCCTATGGGAGGAAAAATGTAGCAACTTCTAATAAATTTCTCCTCCATAAAACATTCAGAGAAAAACAACTGAGTTTATTTATAATGTAATGAAATTGAAATAATTATTTGCAGTCTTCAGCAAATTATTTCCTAGCGCTATCTCTTTCTTCATCCCTCCCACTCTGAAGCTACAGCGACTGATAAATGACGATGGCAAATTGCATCCATTTCTAGTTCTCGCAGAGCCCGATAATACTAAATGGGAAACATTTCTTTTGCGTAATTTACCAAATACATCTTGCTAGATGTATTCTGTGAACTTGTATCACTCTAAGAACACATTTTATCGGAACAGTTATGAGGGGAGCTAACTCCTGATTTATGGAGGTTTCTCTGTTTTATCTTCTTTGTATTACTGCACAAACTCAGAGAACGTCAGTATAAATGTTTCAATAAAATGACGATGAAGAAAAGAACTTGGTCGTTTTTCTTGGAAAGTTATCAAATTATTTCAACCTTGGTTTATATGAGGCTCGTGATCAATATAAAACGATCGAAGCTAGATTACTCCGAAAAATTTTGAATAACTTTCTTTTGTCAGAAGTTAAAATAAGATTTATTAACTCTGAGTTGCCTGATGGTTTACGAGAATTAAGTTTGCATATCTTCGATCCCATGTATATGATTCCATAAAGTGAGGCTCTCAAAGCAAAGGTTTTGTTCTACTACTAGCTACTAGCTTGGGTACATGGTAAACGTTACACATTGCGCTATAGATAAGTTTCCCTAACATCTGCTTATTTAATAAATATTATCGTGTTATCAAATTAAAAAAAAATATTTTATAGGTTCTCATTTGGACACTTTCAACAAAAAATTCCTTGTTGGTCATGTTACATTTTTAATTAAAATATTGCTTATTACTTTGCATAACTTTTATAAAAACATCAAAAAAATACCAAAATGTAAAATTATTTACATCCACTTGATAAATCGGTGAAAAAAAAAAAAGGAACTAAAAGATTTTCAACCATTGTTATCATGAAATGTACCAGGAAAGTAAGACATAATACATACATAATCAATCATATCTGTACATTTAATATTTGTGCCAATAAACCCATTTTACAGAAGTTTTTTTTAGAATATAATTCTATGGTAAGAACTTACTTTATCTCCCTCTCGTCTCACTATGACCATTGGAAACAATTTTCTTCTACATTATAAAATAGTTGTTAACTTTGGCGTATCCTACAAACAATAAAAGTATTGTTCGTCGTCGTTTGTCGCGCTTTTCTTCGCAACCACGACAATCATTGTAAATGATTGATGAATTCAAAGTTTAAGAATTCTTTTTAGACTTTCTTATTAGAATTATTTTGGACTGATGAATTAAGACTATTTCTGTTTTAGTAAACGGCAACCCTTTCTAAAGATAATAGTGTTGCACTCTTCTCTTGTTTGTCTTTTGTTTTATTTTTGCTTTTCCTAACATGCAAGAAAAGCATTAGGTTAGAAGAAATGTCACTGTTTATTTATTATTTGACCCGAGAATCCATTTTGAAATGACATTTAGCAAGTCAACTGTCTGAGTGAGCTGCCGAGATTGGATTTTATTCAGCGCTAGAGGATCAATATATTCGGAACCTATAGACAAAACTAACTGGGAGTCAATTTAAATGTATCTTTTATTTTACGTTTTTCAGTTTTTAATAATCTGTAAACCACTCTCTACTTGTCAGAAGCTCAAACCTGTATTTTACGTATTTGAAAACAACCTCGAGCAAGGCAGTTGTGACATGAACATTTGCAAAAATACCTAACATCAAAATGTATCATTTATACCTAGCAAATTAAGTCGACAGTTAAAAGAAAGACAAAATACAACAGATTTTTTCATCCGAAGACACTATTTTATTGTCAGATTCGATCAATGCAAATGAATAATGTCCTTTCTAGATGAATTTTCAGATTATTGTGAATAATTCAAATTTGTGTTATTATACTGCAAAAACGAGGCTTTTATTTCTTGAAAAGGCCCTGTGGCCATGAGGAGTACAGCATTCAATGGTTCTGCAATTGGAAGTGCTTATGAATTGAGTTACTTGGATTTATATCTGTTTTAGAGAGGGATCTGGGTAGATATAATCTACTGATATTGAAAAGTGGTGAAACTTCCTTTTATATCATGCCCTACACTTGCTAGTCAAAATAGCTGTCGCTGGCGTAGACTTTCTATATTTTTGTTTTATTTCCAGGTGCCTCTAGATCTGCCACCAGTCAGCCGTTGCCGGAGGGTATTTTCTTTTATCCTTTGACTTTTATTTCTAACCTTAACCCTAACGCCCTAACCCTCAAATCTAGTGTTAACCCTAACCTTGACACCCGTAGCCTAACCCTAAGTCTAACCCTAACACTCTAACTCTAACCCTAACCTACATTACTTCCTAGTATTTTCTGTGAATATTTTACCTGATTCATGGAGATTCTAGCAGTAGTCTTGCTGTAATCTCGCCAGAATTCCTAAGAAATCCTCAGGCATTATTTTTTGCTGTACACTGAAAAATAAAAGATACTGAACACATTACTGGGGGTCAAATTTGGCGTGCTTGATTTAGCTTAAATGAGTGTTAGCTAGTGTACGCCAAAAATGAAGCACTGTATAATCAAGTGCAGTTTACAAAATGCATAGGTTATGTATCTCGCCAATATGAGGTTCACAGGATATTTTAGGAATGACTCTAATTCTTGGCCAAATTATTCGAGAATAACCTGGTTTGGGTCAGTTTACGCTTTATAATCCGCGAAGCGGATTATAAAATAGCGTAAACTGAACCAAACCAAGTTATACTCGAATAATTTGGCCAAGAATTAGAGTCATTCCTTATAATTTAATTTTAAAATCATTAAATAACTATGGGTGTAAAATTTCGTTGCTTTTTATTAGTTCAAATTTGCCGTTCAATAATACAACCGTAGTAACGGAAGTGATGGGAAGCGAGGGGAGGTAAAAACTGATACATAGGCCTAGCAGCCTTGTTGTTTGTTTACATGTGGTAAGATCGAATTATTGTTTGAAGTTAAAGGTACATTTGTTAAATCTGAAATTTTCCATGAAACCCGAGGACTGGATATGAGAGGATTGTATGGATACAGATGATTCAGCTGGTTGTCAGAGGGGTGTGTCCCCATACCAAACCAGGTTATACAGAAATAATTTGTGTTCTTGTTTGGATATTAACCAATCAGAGGCTAGAATACAAACGAAATTAAATTATATCTTTATATCTTTTAATATATCTGTACCTGATCCCGAAATGTGTACTCGCCCATTATTGAAAAGGGCATTTATATTTCTTAAGTCTAGATCTGTACTTATTAGATTTGAATCAAACTTAAGTCCATAGAGATATTGATATATCATTGTTAAGATTTTTAACTTTGCTTTGTTTATAACTTCAATTTCCATACTATATACCATTGCTCTTGACTTGAAAAAAAAATGAAGAATTGAAATTGCAAATAAATGCCTGGAAAAAAATGCATTTTCTGACTGAAAGTAAGGATAAGTAGGTTATTTTGACTCATACATGTACGAAAATTCATAAAATCAGCTAACACTTCGCGCACGCTATTTGGGTAAAATGAAATTCGGTAAAGTTGAATGAAAAAAGGTGAAGAACATTAGTTATACTAGTTATCAATCTCTTAATTCCTGTAACAATACAAAGCATGAACATCGCAAAACATGGACCCCTGAAAACATCAGAAGTTGAATAAGGTGCCTTATAGGAGTAAGCATACCCTTTTGACTGGTCACACGCACCATGAGCCCTCTGTATTTATCAGGTAGAGTAATCCATAAATTAGTCAAAATTAGTATGAAACTAAGATACGTCCGAATAATAAGTTTTATTTGCAAGCATATCATTTGATAAATGCTTTTATCTAAATGTAGAATTAAAGGTTACAGCAAGAGATTTCTTCTTCTCATGTAACTGGTCACGGTAGCCTAGAGGTAGGGCGTTCGCTTTATGATCGGAAGGCCCTGGTTCGATTCTTGTTCCCTGCGCCGCGTCAAACCTAAGACGTAAACATAGGTAGTGACCGTTCCAAGCGCCCGGCATTAAAAGTATAGGTCGCGGATCTTCGGATGGAACCTTAAAAACCGAGGTCCCACGTCACGGTAGGCGTTGGCACGATAAAGAACCCTCACTGTTCGATGGCCCTGAGTGACGAGTATAGGTCTTAATTTGAAGCCCTTCACCCGTATATGGGGACATCTCTATATGAGTGAAAAATTCTTGAATGGGACGTAAAACAACATACAATCAATCACTCAATCAAACTTCTCATGTAAAAATGTTTCAATAAATTCTGCTTCATAAGAATATCGAAACATGTCGAATAATTAAGGATTAGTAAAACTATTAGTGCCCAACATGGTCTTCAAAGACTACTTAGATATTGTCAATGACAGTCAGTGACAAGCATCTTTTATTATATTAATGTCAGAGCACTTATGTGTAGAATCAGAAGGACCGATTGCTAACAAAGTGATTGTATAGATGACCAATCAAAAAAGATGTGAACATTTCCAAGTTGTGCTTTTATTGAAGAAGCAGTTTCCTATGTTGTCAAAAGTCTGGTCTTTCATTTACCATGAAGAATGGAAAGACTTTAAAAACACTAGTTGATAAAACAGAACTATGAACAATGAATTAGTAGTAGTATATTGAAATTTATTACATTTTCAACAGTGAAATACTGTGATTTATTTATTGAATAAAAGTGATATTCTCTCACAGTGTGAAAGGATATCAAAATGATATTCTCTCATAGTGTGAATGGATATCAAAGTAAGTAAAAAATAATTTCTGGCCTGTCAGAGATGGTAACTAAACATCTTGATAGAGCTAAAACTGCAAATTTCTTCCCAAATATGTTGCTAAAATCCTTGCTATGTAATGTTTTCAATCTCACAACTGCTAAGCTATGACGCCTCAACCCCTCAGCTATGACGTCAAGCCTAGCTATGACACTGTGTTAAGAAAAGACAGAGGCAAAGGGAAAATCAAAGAAAATGTACATGTAATAAACAGAAAATTCAATGTTTTGTAGATGAATATGGAATTTATTTCACTCGTGAGACAGGATTTTTTTATATTTTCACTCGTGCTTCGCACTCGTGAAAATATAAAAAAAAAATCCTGTCCCACCCGTGAAATAAATTCCATATTCATCTACAAAACATTGAATATCCTCTATTTATACAATACATAATTGTTTAAAACACAGCGTTTTCTCCATTGCAATGATAATGATTATTTTCAATATAACTCATTGCAAAATTGTTAGATGAAAGGATCCGCAATAATAATGTTGAAATAGTGCATATAGCTTACAATTAATTAGCATGAATTCAATGTTGGTTATCGAAATTCTTTACATTGACTTATATGAATAAGTTGTCTTCATTTAATTGCGCTTTATGTAATAACTATTACAATCTTATTCATCTATTTTAAAAATAAGAAATTAAAAATCTATTAACATTTTCATTTAATTGCGCTTTATGTAATAACTATTAAAATACTTAGTAGTTATCACTTGTCCTAGACGACAGTGCTGATGTCTGCTTGTTGACCCAAATTACATGCAACAGCAATAACAAATTTCATAGGCATAAAAGAGTTTCTTGATAACAAAACCCTTCTATTAAGCAGAAAATGATCGCTTGGGATCATGATAAAGAACACTGCCTCAAAGATTTATAAGAAGATCTAGTGGAAGTCAAGGGAAACTTAATGGCACCCTCACGAGATGAACTTTATCAGAACCCTTTTTCTTTTAATCCCCTTTGAATGCATTGACGAATCTGTTCTTGTCATCCACTGACAAGACATACTTTCTGTCGCCTTAATAACCCAACAGTGAGGCTTATTGTGTTTTTATTCAGAATGAAATATTCCTTTAGAGTACCTACTGTTTAAAAGGGTTAGATATTAAATAAATTTACCCATGGCATTTCTTCAAAGTTCATCATTATAGTTAATCATATTATATAGGAAAAATTATCAAATCTCAAATATATTTTCAGAAAATGCGAATATACTCACCAGCTATGCATTTTCTAACTGAAAATTGATCAACAAATATATTTTAAGATAAAAAGAAATATAAGTATTCAGGTATTTGGAGAAAAATGCATCTTTTTATGCTTAATGTACAGTATTTTGTTGTTCTATTTACTTCAATTGTTAAAGAATACATACATGTAGTGTAAAAAGTTTGTGCTAGCATTCCTAGACATCATATATCACGTCTAATTTCATATCCTTCTAATAAGCATTATCATCTAACTAGATTAAAGGAAATTCGATGTCTTTAAAAAAAGTTTTTTTTTTCTTCTTTTATTGGGTACAAATGTTAACTTTTTTTAAGACCGTTTCTAAGACTTCGAAGGACCTTGAATCATATTGAGATGCATAAAATCAAAATTGTTGCACAAAAAGATCTCAAATTCAAGCTTCATTTTGAGTCTTTTTAAATAAAATAATAAATGTAAGAGTTACCCTTCCTGTCTGAGGATCGGATATCCTTAAATCTAACAGGTCTATCATGCATGTATAGCGATGGTTAAGGTCACTGATGAAATATCGAAATTTCATTCATGACTTTGGAACCCGTTAACTAAGGTATTGTTAGGCTAAGGAAGATGAAGAAATATAAAATACGAGTGTATCATCCAGAACAATTATACATTAAAACCTATTTGAAAGAAATTGACATCATTGAAAATTATTTGTTATCAAAATTCCAACAACCAAGAGTGACGTTCTGAAATCGTTTGATTACTTTGAATATAAGCCGTTTTTGTCTATCCATTATTTTTTTTCAAGAGAAGAGATTTCAGTGCTTATTTAGAAAATTGTGGCCCACAGGTAAGTTAAAATATTATAATCAGACAATATCCTATGTTAACAAGTACTTTCGCGTCCAACGTCTTTACATTTCGCCGAAATATTCAAATATGGAATCACAGAAAGATCCCTGCTCAAAGTAGGATTCATTTTAGTAGAAGAATATAGTACATGTACCTTCGTATTATTTTCTTTTATTTATTATATTTCTTTCTTTTAATACTAATTATTTATATATAATTCGATGTTGACTTTTTACAATGAACAGAACGTAATTTATTCATGTAAATTGATACATATAGAGTCACATGTATTGTCATCTATTTCCTTTACACGTCTCATTATTATATAGTCTAACAAAAAAGGTGTTCATCTGCAAATCACAGTACCTGACATGATTCTGTTTTCATCAAAACAGAAAGATTTACAGCACTTTCATGCAGAGTGTGTTTTACATAAAACTTGGAATTGTTATGACCAAGTGTTTTTATCTACAGAATTGTTTTATTCAGTCAAATGGGCTAACGTCGAATTTTTCGATGAGTAAATTAGATCATACATGTCGATAAAAATATGACAAGAAGAATAATTGATCTCCAGTGGGATT